GCTCGGGGCTGCTTTTGTTTCATTATCCAATTTTGGACGCATAGTGCTGCTCCTTAAAAACTACAATTTCTTCCTCCTTTTCTTCCCCCAATTTATGCAGCCATTTTCTAGTAACTTAATCTATCTCAGTTTCTTTATCTGTCAGTGAGTGTGTTGTTTGGGATCGTGTTGTAAAGGTTTAAACCAAGGTATATATCACAGCTGCTGCTTATACCTATCGCTCAAGTCAGTAATTCTTTTGGGAGAAATTAGCTTTACAGAAACCATGTTAGTAGCTTTCATCTGGAAGCCCTTCCAAATTTTCCTCAGTATTTTCTCAAAACAGAAATTGAAAATGAAGAAAAAAATGCAAGCAGTTCAGCCAAGCGTTTGATAACCAGAAGGATCTTCAGAGTATACATGTTGCTTTAGATTTCTTTTTAAAGAGAACAAGCAGCATGTAATCCCTAACCAGTCCTTTATGACTTTAATGGTAGCTTAGTCGGGAAATATTTTTTGGTAATTTTGTTTCAGCAAAGTATGTAGTAAACAGGTCATAACTGCCAGCTACTGTGAAGCGCACAGGTACAATTATGGTCTTAAACTGAAGGAAAACGGCGCTCAGTATTACAGACCTCTGTGCCAAATGAAATGGTATTATCAGAAATCACCAGAGAGGGTTGCAAAGGAAGCGATGTCAGACACGCGTCCGATTAAAGGCAGGAGCCACTTCAATGTGCCGGAACAACAAGACGACTCGGTGCTAGAGAAGCTCATCATGGACTGCTAAATACACAGGTGTGGATGCAACCGGGCTGTCCTTAACCCCCGGGATGCTGGGAACGGGCGGATGGGGGCCGCGATTCGAGTGCATCCACCTCTTTCCCCACCCCGTGCATCCATCGCTGGCGGCTCTCGGCAGAACCACCACGAGTTAATTGGACTTTTGTTGTGATCCTGTAACCCTCGTCCTCAGCCTTCATTCACTGGCTTCCAGCTGAAGGAGGGCAGCTGTACAATGCACTCTGCTTCCCTTTTCTCTAAATACAATCAGGAGCACTTTTCCTTTTTCCTTGCTCTGAAGCTTTTGTACCTGTTCTGATACTGTTCCTGCATGCAGGTTTTTTGTGTTCTGTATTTTTTTTTCCCCCAAGTAGAACTTTCTCCTGTGTTATTAGCAGGCTGGAATCTGAGTGCTGCTCCATCCATCTCATCCTACCTACTGGAACAGTTTGCTCCCTTCACATTTCCTACAAAGCCTCCAGTCATTCCCTGCTCACCCGTGGCACGGTGCCTAGGAAATCTTTGGCATTCTGAAATGATTGAATCAGTTGAATCCAGTGTTCTGGGGGTATTTTGCTAATTGAAATGTAATCGTTGATTCTCTAGCAGTTTTCAGGCTTTTTTTTTTTTTAAATTAACTCCTTCAGATGTCTTGGGGTTTCTCCCGCCGTTCTGTTTGCTATCCATGGGATTCTGGGTCTGGATGTGCACGGAGTTGTTCCAGGCTCTAGAGCACAACCTCTCATTCTGCTCCATCCCTCCCCTTCAAGGGCTGGTAGGTGCAACCAGCTTCATTAGAAAGCAATTTGGGTGTAAACTAACTTCAAATTAATCGACTGTGACCAGGAGGCAGCTCCAGGAGCTCCTGGATTCCCTTCCCCTGAAGAGGTGTCAGAGGCAGCTCTGGATGGGAACTGAAACATGGCAGAAACGTTAGGTTTTGTGACATACCCTGGTGTGAGAATTGGTGTTGTACAGCTTTCTGTGGCCCTTGGGTAGTCACTGCCTCTGAAGGCCAGGTAGAAAGGGAATATTTTCTATGAAATGGGCTCTCTTCGTGGCAAACTCCGTCACAGTGCAGGCTCTTTCCTGTTAGGCCCGGGCAGGAAACGTTTGGCTGCAGAGAGCTCTAAAATATTAATACCAGCAGAGCACACTCGGCTATTGCAGCTGTTTGTGTCCCAAATTTCTGGTGTCCAAGCAGCGTTTTTGATCCTCAGCTAAGACGCATTTCAAGTTCCAAACTTTGTCTGTCTGATGACACTGGCTTTTAATTTTAAATTGGGTCGCGTTACATGTGTGTGATGTGGTGGATGGGAGGCAAGGGCTCGGTAACCTTTGTTATAACTGGCACCACTTACCATAATAAAATTCATTCCATCTTTCCGAAGGCTCCTACTATGATTTCAGTTATAGGAGAGGACTTTTAATAATAACCCCCTGTTCTCAGACCTTGTGAATACCTGTCACTGCTTGCTGTATTTCTCTGCGTTCCCTAGGTTTGGCAGACCTGAATAGGGGCAGCTTTACCTTCAGGGTGTCTAAAGCGGAACTATTTCCCATCTCTGTGAGTGAAACCTGCCTGTGGTGACGTGATTTCGAGCTGGGTGGGAGGTCACGTGCGGAGAGCTGCTCGCTTTGGTGTCTGAGGAGATGTGGGGCCGTTGGTCTGGGTCTGGCATGAGGTTGGCCTTTCCAACCTAGGAAAGCCCCTTCCCACAGAACTGAGGATAAAGGGCTGGGAATTCCTTCCAGGTCCTGCGCAGAGTGGGAAGCTGCTCCCATTGCAGGCTTGGGGAGGGTGGCCAGCCGAGTCCTGCAAAGGGCTTCCAAAGGCCTTTGCTGCAGTCCGCATGCTGCTTTTGCCCAGCTCTTGCCCAAAGGACATTAAGCCAGTATGGGAGCCATGAAATACCTGCACTGTGCTCAGAAATGCCGCCACCACAGACCTCTTACCCCCCATTTCTTTTTTTTTTTTTGTTTTTTTGCCTGAAAATCTGGCTGTCGAAACGAGCCCAACCGCAGCCAGAGCCTCTTCGCACCCTGTTGGCCTCAAGTTCTGACCGACCCAACAAAGACTCTTTTCCTGCCATTCTCTCTGGTGAGGCATAGCAGCCCTATGAGTATTTGGGTGGAGAAGGAAGGAGATTGCAACATCCATGAGGGAAAGAAAAGAAGGCTTGTCTGCCTTTTGGCTTTTTCAAGGGCAGCAGCTGTAAAACTTTCCTTGGGCTTTGAAAAGTGAACTCTGCCATGTGGTGGGTGCGAGCTGCAGAATACGTCAGCCTTTGAAGTGAGTGCTTTAAATAACCAATTTCTCGTGACATCCAGCTGAAAGGTTTTGCAGCGGTTTCCCTCAAGCTGGAGTAAGTTGCAGTAAGTTCTGACAGTGCAGTTTGGATGTTAAAATGGAGTTACGAGCACCCACAGCTAGATGCAGGACATTGAATCTCTAGAGAGGGTCCAGCAGAAAGCCACGAAGGTGGTGAAGGGACTGGAGCATTTGTCATTGAGGAAAGACTAAGCGAGCTGGGCCTGTTTAGCCTGGAGTAAAGAAAGCTGAGAGAAGATCTCATCAATATGTGGGGAGAATGTAGGGAGGATGGGGCCAAACTCTTCTCGGTGGTGGCCAGTGACAGGACAAGGGGTAATGGGTACAAGTTGAAACACAGGCAGTTCCACCTCCATGTGAGGAAGAACTTCTTTCCTGTGAGGGTGCCAGAGCCCTGGCACAGGCTGCCCAGAGAGGCTGTGGAGTCTCCTTCTCTGGAGATCTTCCAAACCCGCCTGGATGCCGCCCTGTGCCCCGTGCTCTGGGTGTCCCTGCTGGAGCAGGGGGTTGGACTGGGTGGTCTCTGGAGGTCCCTTCCAGCCTCAGCCATCCTGTGACTCTGATTGCAGCCACATGTGAGCACAGCTGTCCTGGAATGGCTGAGAACCAAACACCGTTAAAGGGCTGCGAGATCTGCATTTTTTTTCCTTCTATTTACAGGGAAAGTGTTCTGCTGACCACATGCAGAAGGCAGTTAAGTGCCCAAAAGCGTTTGCTTTCCCATCCGCAGTGTTTTAAGTGCTTAATTGCCACTTGGTACAATGAAGCACTTCATAGTTCTTAATCTACGGACATTACTGTTCTACAGAGGGACATTGTTCCTGTTTTTAGTGTTGGCATGGAGGTAAAACTTAGTTTTCAGCAGGGATTTAGAGGTTTTACTTAACAGATAGAGTTGTACAAACTTTTGACCTTCTCATGTAGGATGATTTGAACAGGCTCAGGGGTTTGAAGCAAGTTGCTGCCCTAGCAAGGAAGCCTTTTCCCCTTAGATATCTGCTGCCCTTAATGCCCGATCCTCCATGGAAAAGCCTTGTTACCTCCACGCTTAACATTATATCCCTGGAGAAGCTGAAAGTGGAGATGGGAACGGACTCTGTCTGCTATTGCTTTGCCGGTGTCCTGTTATTAACCCCGCGATGGCAACGTTCCCAATTCGTGCATGCTGGGAGAGAAATGCAACGCGGAAAAGGGGAAAACTCACTTGCTTTTCAACAGTACTTGAGCTCCGGAGCTTACATAGCTTTCCTGGGAAAAAGTCTTTCCTGTAGCCATTGTCTTAATGTAGGGCCTTTCCTAATCGTTCTTTGTCATCTCCGAACTTCTGGAAAAGTGAGTGTTTCCCAGGGTGTAGGTGGTGGGGCAGTTTGCTCACTGCTGCTTAGTCTCCCATAGCAATATTAGGTTAATCAAGCTAATTGAGAGCAGTGACTCGTAGAACATGAAGACTGGATGATCCAAGTAGTGATTTGTCATTTCTGCACTCTATGGGATGGTTTCCTGCTGGAGAAAATAGCCTGAGGCACTCTGCTGCTAGGAAATACATCTTTGTATTTATTGTCTACACATCTCTCTGTAAGAAAAATATACTAATGGACACTTGTTGTCTGAACGAAAAAGAATAAATTTTTTAAAGAATAAAATATCTATCACTGTTCTTCAGCCAAAAGTAACACGCTGTGAATTGACTTCTGCTGACCTGCAGTGGCCCTCCGTGTGGGAAAGGAGCAGGAAGCACGAGATGCTTCTGATGCTGCTGGTGCTTGTTGCATCCTTCCGCTTTTTGTAGAGAGGAGGCTATGTTTTTTATAGCTGTGCTTACCCTTTATTGTCCTTAATATTGTAATTTATATGGGTATTTCTTCCTTTTCTTCCTTCTTCCTCTCTCCTTCCGCCCTCCCACTAGGACGATGAGGGGCTCAAGTACTTAACTCACGAAGAGAAGGATGTTCTCATGTTCTTTGAGGAAACCATCGATGCCTTAGATGATGCCTTGGAGGAACCAGCCCTGCCTGACAGCGGCCTCCACTCCCAGTCTCCAAGGTCAACAGAAGAAAACGTCTCCAGCCACTCCGAGACTGAGGATATCATTGACCTGGTGCAGTCCACGCCTGACGGCAGCGACCACGAAGAGCCTCCCACGAGAGATGCAGAACCAGGTAGTGGCACCCCTTCACTTCCCTTTCCTGTGACTTAGCCCTGGCATCTCCAAGTTCTCATCAGAACCAGCTAAGGAAGTTCTGTGGCTCTTTCCTGCTTTGCTGCTCTGACTCTGCTGCATGCCAGGAGCCCTAAGGAGTGTGATTAACCCAGCACTGGTGTTGAGGGGTTGCTGAGTTGCTTCCTGCTCCTCTGTACTGCACAGTCCTTCTTGCACGTGGTTAAACTGCTGGGCTGCCACCTCCATCTCTACCCAGTGACTAAGTTGCAACAAAACTGAGTATTACACAGAGTCATCACAGCAAGGCAGATTGGTTTTTATCTATGTGTTAATGCTCTGCTTTTTCCTTAAGGACCCCTTAGGAAATCTCTAAGCGCTTTAAGATAGTTAATTGTTTGTAGTGGTATGTTGTGGGGGGCTTAAAGGCATGTGGTCCTATCCAAGACATAAAAATTGTGTGACAAGGGGCACATGGGGTGTTTTTCTCCTCACTGTGGGTTGAGTCTCCACTTCGGGAGGGTTTGTTTGCATTGGTGCACACTGTTGGGTGACGCAGCACCTCCTGGCTGCTGTAAACACCACGAGAACGCAAGAGATGCTGTAGGTGAAGAAGCCATTGAAACACAGAGATGCCAACATGCAAAGTGTGGATTAATGGCAAAAAAAAGGAGGACTTCCAGCAAGTGCCTTGCAGACCTGGGTTACCTGAACCGTAGCCTCTCCTCTGAGATACTTTTTTTCTGGCACTGTGGGCAATTTTTGAGCAGCAAGTTTGGGGGAGGAGAGTATAGGTGGTTGCTAATCCTAGTGAAAGAAAGCTTTATGTTCCCTCCGGTGTGAGGTCTTAATGAGATTATTGCTGTTGTGTTTTGTTTTTCCTAAGTGTTGGACTCTGCCTGGAGATAGCCCTAAGGCAGCGGTGCCCGCTGAACCAGCACCACTGGCACGGGAGATGCTTCCTCCTCCTCCTCCTCCTCCCCTGCCGGCCGTGCAGCACCCCAGGCTGCTCCGCTCCGTCCCCACTCCGCTCATCGTGGCCCAGCAGATGTCCGAGCAGCAGCAGGGGGACGGCAGGACGCGCTTCCCCGGCGCCCCCAAGGAGGGCAATCCCGAACGGAAGAAAACCCCGGTGCCCAACGGGGACTGCGCGGCGCCCGCGTGCAGACACCCTCCCGCGCCCGCGGCCCGGCTGCCCCGCTTCCCCAGCAACATCAACATCACCAACGCGGGCGGCAGGGAGTTCAGCGAGACCATCTCCAGGGCGGCCGTGAACGTGCAGGAGCGCAGGGCGCAGGTGCTGGCCAACATCCACGGCGGAGCCTTCCCGGCGGCCGGGCCGGAGGAGAGGCTGGCCC